TGTGGCTCCTCTGTGGTTAGACAAAAACAACATGGGGTGTTGTTAAATGGTAAATTTTTTTTCCCGAAGAACAAAGCAGTGGAGCTAGCTCTCTTTGTTGTAACCCTTGCCAAGCTCCTCTGCACAAACTTTGCACATTCCAGACTCCTCTATCTCTTTTTCTCACGCACACACACACACACACACAATCTTACTGCTAATTTCACTCCAAAAAATCCTTTCTCTACAAAATTAACAAAAGTTATCACCCACTAAAACCCTTTCACGATGTTTATCACACCAATTTTGTTGATAGTTCTTCCAGCAATCATTCCCCTCACCAATGAATGACTTTCAACATCAACATTGGACCTGACTCATTTTCAAGAGAAATGCACCGCTCTATTGTTGCAGATGCAGATTTTTTTCCTTAATTGGTTAAGTATGAAGTTGATGTAAACACTTGGTACTTGATGTAAAAGAGGGAGGGTTGACAGTTGAGTTCTATAATGGTAAGGTGGAGGGGGATGAGTTTTCTGGTAGGGATACGACAAAGGAGATGATGCAATGGCTGGGCGAGACTTAGCTCAGGTGGAAGACTCTTTTAGAGAGAGACTCTTTTTTAGAGGGAGATGGTGAGAAAGGGTGAGAAGGGGAACCTTTAAAGGCTTGTCTCATTTTTTCTTTGGAGAAAAATTTTTAACTGTTGAACTTAATTAAAATGGCATCGTTTCCTATAACAACACATTGTGTTGTTTTTGCCTAACAGCAGATGAGTTGCACCCCCTTTTCTCACCCTCTCCCTCTAAAAAAGAGTCTCTCTCTAAAAGAGTCTTCCATCTAAGCTAAGTCTCGCCTAGCCATTGTATCATCTCCTCTACAATATCCCTACTGGAAAACTCATCCCCCTCCACCTTACCATTATAGAACTCCACTTTTAACCCTCCCTCTTTTACATCAAGTACCAAGTGTTTACATCAAATTCATATTTAACGAATTAAGGAAATAAATCTACATTTGCAAAATAGAGTGGTGCATTTCTCTTGAAAATGAGCCAGGTCTAATGTTGATGTTGAAAGTCATTCATTGGTGAGGAGAATGATTGCTGAAAGAACTATCAACAAAATTGGTGTGATAAACATCGTGAAAGGGTTTTAGTGGGTGATAACTTCTGTTAATTTTGTAGAGAAAGGATTTGTTGGAGTGAAATTAGCAGTAAGATTGAGTGTGTGTGCGCGGCAGAGAGAGAGAGAGAGAGAGGAGTCTGGAATGTGCAAGCTTTTGTGCAAAGGAGCTTGGCAAGGGTTACGAAGAGCTAGCTCCACTGCTTTGTTCTTCGGAAAAAAAATTTGTTGTGCAAAACTTAATTAAAACGTGGTCGTTTCCTCTAACAGCACACCATGTTGTTTTTGTCTAACTGCAGAGGAGCCACACCCAAGAAAGGGCGAAAAGGGGAACCTTTAAAGGCTTGTCTCATTTTTTCTTTGGAGAAAAATTTTTAACTGCAAAACTTAATTAAAATGACACTGTTTCCTATAAACAACACACTGTGCTGTTTTTGCCTAACAGGAGAGGTGTTGCACCCCTTTTTTGGCTCACACTTTTTTAGGTTAGGGAAATGTACGAGTAGGTAACCTGTGGAAGACTTTTTTGTGAGAAATGACCTTGAAAAAAATGTGTTGTAAATAAGTACCATTATGTTGAAATGTATTATAGAGAAATACACAATGACATTTTTTTTATTCTTTTTTTTACTATAATACCCTTTCCCTATTTTTATAGTGTTTGTATTTTGGCAGTTGCTTTTTATATGAGGATTTGGTTTTATTGATAGGCAGTTTCGTAGTATGAACGATTTTTTTTTTTTTTTTGAACATTTAAATCATCTAAAAACGACGCAGGATCTAAACAAAATCGACGTCTGTTTTGAAGCTAGGGTCATCATCATCTATAATGTTACATTGTAGTGATACATAACAGTGTAACACATTCATCAATACTTTAATCACTAACAAAAAGTTGTTCATATATAATCTAAATGGTATGCATCACATAATGTGATATCACAAATATGACATCCATAAATATTACTTTTAATGAATGACATTGTTACTATGTTACATCATAGCATAAAAATGTAAAGTGACATTAATTTCAACTAATTAATGGAGAGATTTTAGGCTAAAATTTACAGTTAATAGAGGGGAAGAGAATTCTAGATATAATCAATATATACAAACATAAGGAATATAATTATAGCTATGTGGGAGTGATTTTAGGAAAGGAAAATTATAAATCTGTGGGAGAGATTTTAAGAAAAGGAAAGAAAATGTTGTTTAAAAATTCAAATTCATTGTCCCATTAAAATAGAAAACTCTTAATTCATTTTTTGAGGATTGTAGTTTGTTTATGGTTGAAAACCGAAGGAATTTGAGGAAGTTTATTCAAATTTTGAAAAATCGAGTTTTGGGGCCTTGATTAGTGGCCGAATTTTGTGGAGATGGTGAATGGAATCCGACAATTTTCAAAGATAGATAAGCGTATGTTCAGTTACTTCTGTGGATGTTTTTGGAACAAAAAAAAAGAGGACTTCTCCACAAAATATTTTAATTGAAGGATTTTTATGTAAATAAGTTCTACATAAAGTACCGACCTATAAGAAATCCTTTAGGTTAAACTGGTGGCCCATTAATATTGTCAATAAGAAAGGGTAATAATGGGTTGGTTGGCTTGGTGGGCCAAGTTTCATATATATACGAGGGATTTTTGTAGTTTTGATACACAATTTAGGACTTAATTGTGTAAAATTTCTTCGGGTAAAACTATTTGTGTAGATGTCCTTTTTATTTGTAAATATCAAATATACCCACAATAAAAACTAACCGGCTCAAACTACTGGGTTTTTAAACAGTAAAAAATTAGGCAGCGTACCCATGGAAATTGGTGTACATACGATGGAGCACCTTTGAAGTTCGATCGTCAACTTTTTCAATTGTAATCGCCGACAATGTCGAGGTAACTAATTATAGATTGATAAAATCATGTCACCATACCTGTGTGAATAAAATGACTGTGTTAGACACACAGTGATTCATATGAATCAGTGTGACATGGCAATGTAACAACCTAATAACCTCTTTAATTATTGACAAAAGATGTGCAATTACATTCTTTAATTTATACACAATCTAAATGGCATGCATCGCATAGTATGACATCATATTGTTACAAGCATATTATTTTACCCATACTGTACGAATCAAGAAATTTAATTTAATTTTTTTTCACAAAGTGACAAATACAATAGTGTTTATTGTGTTGTTACACTATGATGTAACATTATCATTCTTTAAAAGCAATATATGTGCTTGTCGGATTATAGATGTCACACTATGTAAAAAACACAAACTTCTTGTCCCAGATTATTGTGATTTTATCAAAGTTTTTTTTTTTTTCGAAAATATGAATGAAATATGCAATATGTGGGTGAATGAAATCTATGGATACCTTTTTTTTCAAATCTTAGTTCTTTTGTTGAAATCGTGCAATGGTGAGATTTTAGTCTAGAATTTACAACTAATAGAGGGGAAGAGAATTCTAGATAGAATCAATTACATACAAACGTAAAGAAGAGAAATTATATCTATGTGGAAGAAATTTTAAGAAAGCAAATCAACACCCGCCGTCGAGGTAGAAGAAGATAATATACGTTTAAAATTCAAATATACTAATCTTCTAAAATAGGAAACCATTGATTTAATAAAACAAATCCCACAAAAAAGGGAATTGTCAAACTAAACAGTCTATAAATTATGAAAAATGATATTTCAGCAAAAGAAAAATTTTAAAAACTGTCATTGTGTATGTAGACATAATAAATTTATACTTAGTAGTACTTATTTGCAATAGAGTGTCAACAATGTATTTTTTCGCAAATAAGTAATTTATACGACACATATCCACAATTTTTTGTATATACAATGCAATTCAGGTTAAACTAATTAGATATTGATAACTACCATCTTTTTTATTTATACTAGGGCCATGTTTAGATTGTGGCATTCATGACATCAGCCTCTGACGACGGATAAAAAGACTCCTGCTGAGCAATTTCATTTCTACGTGGAACCCCACAAATCCTATGTTTGATATGTCAAATTGGGTTGAGAATAAACCCAAATAAATAATCACAAATCAAATATAATAATTATACTTCACTTTCTTTCTTTTTTTGTCAGTAGAGTACAAGTGTACGTCCCCTTCTCCCTCTCCCTCTCCCTCTCCCTCCCTACTTTCTCTTTCCCTCACCGTCTCTCGTTCACCTCTATTGGCAATCGCCTCCATCTCCACCATTGGACATGTTCAAATACACATGTAGAAGTAAGTTAGACCACAAGGATATGTCAGTGACCTAGCACAATAAAACACTCTCTAAGAATATGGAATGTCTCATTTTTTGGCCAGAATCTGTACAGTAATGTTTCTGTTAGGTTCTCCGATCGAAATACAAGAAAATTCCATTCAATTTTCGATGAAAACGGAGATTTATGAATTCTCTTTGAAACTTAGCATATTCGAGGGTTCAATATGCCGTGTGTCTAAGTTCGTGTTGGAGGGAGGGTTGGAGTATGATAGGAGGTGCATGTGTGTAAATGCTTCGATTTTAACCAATTCAATCCAGCATTTTAAATCCATCACATTAATTTATTTTTCACTTCTTTTTCATATAAGGGGATATATAGTGATGGTCTTCCAATGTGGAAATGTAATTTTCCTATTTCAGTGCCAGTCACTGTTAGAATCTTTAATGCAATGTCTAAGCAGATCTCCCTTAATTAGTTTTGGATTTGATTTAACTACAAGAAACCTGGGTCATAGTTTAATTATATATAATTGGAAACCTAAGCACACGACTCCTCATAGTTATAGTTAGAACCTCTAAGAAGAGGTTGGGGTCATTGGTTCTCTCAATGGCCTCCTTTTTATTAAATCTCTTTGGAATTCTCATTTGTGGTGTTCTCATGGGTGCAAATGGAGCTGATAATACCTTTAATCAAAACTACTTTGCTTTGTGGGGGTTAAATCATTTCACCCTACTTAATCAAGGAAGTGAAGTGCAACTTCTATTGGATAAGTCCTCAGGTCTCTCTCTCTCTCTCACTCTCATACACGCGCGCACGCGTATGTGTGCGTAATCTCTCTCCACGTATTTATTTACTGATACATAAAGTGATCAAATTAGGAAGAAAAATGTTGGATTATTAGATTTTAAAAACTAGTTTCTCTCAATTCAATTCACCCACGTTGTCGATACAAACATTCTCTTACTCCCGTAACATTGCCAATATAATCGCTTCTTATTTTGCAATTCTATCTTTTTTAATTTCATTCACTATTTTCCTTTTTAACTTGTCATCTTTATCACATTTTCTCTCTTACACTACAAGAAAAATGAAATAGGGTTGGGGAGGGCATGAGATATTGGCCTCACCATTCTTATAATACATTCATAAATGTGCATCGAATACGCAAACCATCAATATATACAATATTGTACTTTTTTCTATGTCTACGTGAGAGAGTGTGTGTGTGTGTGTGCAAGAGCTAGACATAACATTTACATGTTTCATCTAATTTCTTTGGAGCTATGCATGCAGGATCCGGATTCAGGTCCAAGTTGGTGTATGGCTCTGGATTATTTCGCATAAAGATGAAGATATCAGACAAAAAAACTGCAGGAATTCTCTCAACTTTTTATGTAATATTTTTTTTTTCTCGTTTGCTTATTATTGTTTATACAAAGAAATTAACAAACTTTAAGAATATGTGATTACATTGGTGTTTATCTGAATACAGCTGACCTCGGCCCCAGATTTTAAAGATCAAAAGCTTCATGATGAGATTGACTTCGAGTTTCTGGGCACCAATGGTACATTACAAACAAATGTGTTTGCTAATGATGATGGGCATAGAGAGCAAAAGTTTCAGCTCTGGTTTGATCCTACAAAGGATTTTCACACTTACGAAATTCTCTGGAACCAATACCAAATAGTGTAAGAATTATTCAACCACCTTTGCTTAATCATGTTCCTTGTAATATGGTTAGGTTTGATAATTCGAGCTGAGTCCCTCGAGTTCCTTTTTTTAAATAAGTCAAAGGTTATTTTCAATAGAAATTCAAACCCTTAACTAAATTTGAGTAAAAAAAAAAAAGGGTAAAAAACTTGATTTGGTGTAAACCTCTCAAATGGAGAAACTCAAATGTAAAAAAAGAGAAACCCAAATTTAAATAGGTCAAACACAAATTTAAAAAAGAATAAATATGACCATTAGATCTTTAGAGGAGAGTAAAATCTCACAATTAAATATTATGGTATAAATTTGAGTCTCTCTTAATTTTAGTAAAAGAATGAGACTACCTTCGTTGAATATGAGTATGGGTCAAGCAATGGAGAAAGTTTTTGGGAGTTTTTTTTCTCAAATTTAAATTTGAGTTTAAAAAAGGGTAAGAATTGAAGATATTCTAAAAAATTGTTCAAACTCGAATTGAATTTAAAATGAACTAAGCCCGAGTAGTCTTACTCAATTATTGGCCCGAATTTAATGATCTATCACACACATTCATTTGGTAAGAAATTTGATACGCACATCATTCATCTACGACCCTTTGATAAAATTCAATGGCCATAACATGATTTATGTAGTTGATCAAAAAAATATTAGGACAAGAATTTGTTGAGTTGGGTATCTTTCATCTACAACCATTACTGTATTCTTCCCATAAAGTAGATTTTCTGGGTTCTCTCTCTCTACCAGGTTCTTCGTGGACAAAATACCCATCAGAGTGTTCAAGAACAACACAGCACTTGGTGTGAACTACCCATCAAATCCAATGCAAATAGAGGCAAGCATATGGAAGGCGGATTGGGCAGGACAGGTTAACTGGAGTCAAGCACCATTCATTGCTCACTACCAATACTTCAACATAGATGGCTGCCCAACCCAGCAAAAGTCAATCTCTCAGCAGTGTTATTCTCTCCAGTATGAGTGGAACAAGAGAGAGCACTGGGAACTCAGCCCTGTTCAGAAACAACAGTACGAACAAGTTAGAAAAGCACATCTGGTCTATGACTACTGTTCTGACAAATCGAAGAATCACCCAGAATGCCCGAGTAATAAATAGTGTGGTAAGTGTTATGAAAAGTAATTGTTGCCAAGTGGTGGAAATTAGATTTCACTGGAGATGCGTTGTTGCAATGATGTGAGTCATTTGTTTGCTTCCTGTTTGTTGTAATGCTTCTTTGTACAGTAAAGAATATAGGGCTAATCCTACCTTACACCCTGAAACATCACTCGAATCTTAATTTATAGCCTGATTTATGCTCTAAAAAGAATTTTATCTATTAATACTCGTTAAATAACTTTTGATAGCTACTCGAAAATAATGGTCGAGGCCCGATTAACGTGCTATTGCTTAGATTGGTGAGTTTAACGGGGGAAAAGATTGATTTGCAAATAGCAGAAGAAACTGAGTGTAAGTGGTTCATCTAAGTCAAGAGACTAAGGCTACATCCATTATAATGGAATTTCTTGCTCTTTAAGGTTGTATATTAAGACCAGATGTGTATCTCGAGATTAGTGGCTCTGAGTCTCTACAATGTCTTACGCTTAGTCTGTTATACGTCTAGGGCTGAGTTAATACAGTCGAGAGTGGATTCAGCCAGGGGAGAGAGCTTTGGTAGGTTTTTTCTGTTTTATTTATACCGGTCCTTCTTTCTAGGGTTCTTGGTGGCTCCTCCTACCTTTTTGTTGATCCTGTGGGAACCTTTCGTCCTTACTCCGCAAATGCCTCCGCTAGCTGGTGCTATTGTGTGCATGATCTCTAGATCGTTACACACCATCATCCTCTGTAACTGTCATAGGTTTCAACGATGGTCCCCTTGTCCTTTGGACGCGTGGCATGGTAGATGCTCCTAGGGCAAAGATTTTGCTCACCCTTCTCAGACTAGACTTTGGCTGGTACTAGATTGGACCAAGGTTGGGCTACTGGTCCTCTGGAGTCATTAGACTTTACCCTTTCTGCTGTCTTGGGCTAATCAGAAGCACTTCATTGAGGCTAATGAGCCCTGCCTTTGGGTTCTCAGGGTGTTATTGGGCTTCGAGGCCATGGAGGCCCATGTCCAAAATTTCATCCTTATCGCTTTCAATTGTATCGTGTCATATCTAACTTTAGACAAAAAATAGTTATTTAACAAGTATGGTAGGTAAAAATTATGTATTTTATAATTTTAATTTTTTTAAATAGTATTATAGAAATTGTTATAAATGTAAAATATAAAACACAATGCAACTGACTCAATAAGAAAAAATTTTGTGTTAAAAATATTTTTTTATTGACTCAAACATGATACAAAATGACACGACACGAAACAAAAGTGTGATGATACATCACAATTGAAAGATATTTAATGAGTGTTAATCAATGAAATTTTTTTTGGATCATAAATGTGGAATATTTAAATTTTGAAGATGTAATTTGTAATTAGCCCAAACATTTTTAATGGCAAAATATATATTGTTACAAATTTATATTTTTTAAGATATAAATTAATATTTTTAAACTTTTATGGTATAAATTAAAATTTGAATCATCTTTAAAAGGTACAATTTGAGATTAGCGCAAGAATTTATCGAGGATAATCAATGAGTTTCAAAGTAGCATTACTCGTTAAAAAAAACACAGCCACCCAATTGGGTTCCCTGATACCTTTCTGTCATCAATCATCATTATACATATGCGTGGAATTTTCGCTTTTTTTAAAAAAAATTAGAAGTGAGAGCTCCTAAATATATTTGTTTGGAAATAAGTCCTGCAAAGAAACTTATAAGGGAGTAATTTCATGTTTAAAATTATATGTAATGACTTAAGTTTATTTTTTTTCTATCTCAAAAATATCATTCCTTAAAAAGAAATTAATCTTTTCTCTCTCATATCTATCTATATCCACATATATATATATATATATATATATATATATATATATATATATATTAAAAAAACATAATAATATTCGAATACAAAAAAAAAGTTACTATGAATTTGAATAGTAAAATTCAAATTCATGTTACTATTTTTTTTATTATGTTATTATTCATGTTACTGCTTTTGTTGAGTATGTTACAGTTCATGTACTATTATTTTTGAGCATGTTACTGTTTTTGTTGACCGTGTTACTACTATTATTTTCCTAAATATTAATATTCAATGTTACTATTTTTTTTTTTGAATATTTCTATTTTTTAAATGATACTATTTTTTGAGTTTGAATTTGAGAGAAATAATTATTGTTAAGTATGTTACAGTTTTTGTTAAGCGTGTTACTATTTTTGTTGAACATATTAATATTTTTGTTGAACATGTTACTGTTATTATTTTTTAAAAATATTAATATTGAATGTTTCAATTTTTTTATGTTTAAATGTTACTATTTTTTTGTGTTTAAATGTATTATTTTTTGTGTTTAAATGATAATTTTTTTTTTGTATTTGAATGTTACTATTTTTTATTTTTAATATTACTATATATATATATACACACACTCACACATATATATAACCTATATATAAATAGATAAGAGGGAGGAAAAATTTTAATGTTAGTCAAATTGTTAACCTATATATGGATACTAGTCATAACCCGTGCCTGAAGGCACGATAAAATATAAAATTCAAGCGGCAAAAAAATTGATCTCATTATATTAATTTTTTTCAAAATATATTAACTACAAATTAATCAAATATTAAATGATTAAATACATGATATAAATGTATGATGTGATATTTTTAGGAAAGAAATATATAAATGATTAAATATATGATAGAAATAAGTGATGCGATTTGACATTTGAGTCTGACAAAGAGATGATGGGTGAGGTTAGTGATTGGTGATGATTTTGAGGAAAAAAATATGACTGAGATAAAATTCAAACACACTTCTGTTTTATTATATGGATATAGATAAATATGAGAGAGAAGAAATTTTAATGTTAGTAAAANTAAGGAAGAAAATATGACTGAGATAAAATTCAAACACACTTCTGTTTTATTATATGGATATAGATAGATATGAGAGAGAAGAAATTTTAATGTTAGTAAAACTCCTAAGTTTTAGGAGTTTTTAATTTTTAATTTTATTTCACTTTTAAAGGGAAGGGATAGTATGGTAAAATTAACAAAAAACGGATTTCATAACAAATAAGTTTTCTTGACGAACTTAAGTCCATATAAGGGGACCGACTTCCAAATTTCCCTTTTTTTTTTGGTGGGCCGGGGGGGTCACAGACTCACATGGAGAGAAAAAAAATGGGGCTTTTCGCATTTTGCACACCAAAAAAAGTCTCGGTTTTTATTTTATACTTTGAAAAATTATTTTTTTCACATTATATTTTCAATGTTATAAATTAATTTCAATATGGCCTTCAAACTAACATCAATTTCAGATTTTGTTAAAAATTAATGTCATGTCAGTACCACCCACATGTTGCTGGCATGTACATCAATTTTTAAAAGAATTTGAAATAGATATTAGTTCGAGGGTCACATTAGAACTAATTTATGATATTCAAGATGCAATGTGACAAAAATAATTTTTCGGTGTGCAAAATAAAAATTGAGACATTTTTTGGTGTGCAAAGTGCTGAAAGCCCAAAAAAATGAGAAAACAAGTTTGATTAATATTTCAAATTCTAAGTACAAAAATAGAATTCAAGTGACTCATTTAAGTTTGAAATTTGAGTTGAATATGTAATTTGTATAAGAGTTTGTGGTAATTTACACTATGAAAGATTTAAAGTTTCTCATTTTGTACTTTTAAAAATTAAATTTTTCACATTGTATTCTCAATATATCAAAAGTGTTATTATATGACCCTTCTGTTAGTTTCCGTTATTTTTTTGTCACAAGCCAATTCATTGACACTGATGAAAAAACTAACGAAAAGCTAATAGAAGGAATTATAGTACTACACTTTTGATACATTAATGATATAATATAAAAAATTTAATCTTTTAGGATATAAAGTAAGAAATTTAAAATATTTTTAGGTATAAAGTGCAATTTGCCCGTTGTTCATCTCACAATCAAAGTTTTTTTTTTTCAAGCTTATTTAGGTCAATGTCTGAAACTTCATAAAATTACTTTATTGATCAATTGAGTTGAATTGAGTTTGAGATTGATGAATAAGATATATAAACACGAGAAAATCTGATGGCAGAAAAACAAATGGTCAAAAAAGTTTAAAGAGAATTAGACCCTCACCTCTTAAAGTTTGTCACTTAATCACTCAGATTTCTTAACATTTAAAATATTATACACAGACTCTTTGAAGTTTATATGCATGTAACACTTAGACCCTGCCATCAATGTCTGTTATTATATTTGTTAATAAATTACATTCAGACCTTCTGAAGTTTGTAGACATGTAATACTTAGATTTTTCAAATTTAAAATGTTATAACTAGATTAAAAATATTCCAGTTAAAGATTGAATATCAAATATTTTAAATTTTACAACCCAAATTCATGTTCTATTATAACATTTATTGAAATAAAATCAAAAAATAAAAATTTAACTTTTTCTTAAAAAATCATAATTATTATACAATTATACTATCTATTGAAATTTAATTTGATCATTTAAACTACCAAATTACCCCTATTAAAGTTAGAATATATTGTGTATATTATAATTTGACCTCTTATTTATTTTTTACTTTTATTCCAACAGATAATATAATTTTATACGAATTATGATTTTTTTAAAAAAATAAATTTTTAATTTTAATTTTACTTTAATAAATAACATAATAGAACATGAATTTTGGTTATAAAATTCATGTTCTATTATGAATAACTTAAACCCCTTGTTTATTTTTTAATTTTATTCCAATAGAGTATAATTGCATATTAATTACAATTATTTTAAAAAAAATAAATTTTTATTATTAATTTTATTTCAACAAATGATACAATAGAACACGAGTTTTAGTTGTAAAATTTAAAATATATAATATTNATTGATCAATTGAGTTGAATTGAGTTTGAGATTGAAGAATAAGATATATAAACACGAGAAAATCTGATGGCAGAAAAACAAATGGTCAAAAAAGTTTAAAGAGAATTAGA